TTCCATTTTCATTTCCAGAAATTAAAAGAATTAAAAGCATAGATCAACGAAATCATCTAACACTCACGTAGTTTAAGGCCGTAGAGAAACTCCGAGACGCCTGTAATCAAAACCGAGGATGAGATCGGGAAACGCCGGAGAAAAAAAAGCGAGAGGAAGCAGGAGAATATACCTGAGATGGTGGTTGACGGAAAACTTGACGGACGCTTAGCAGCGAATCTAGCCAGCATTTTCGGGAAACTTAGAGAAAAACGAGAGACGCACGAAGCTTTTTGATCTGAGGAAGAATCAGATTGAACCAGAGAGAAACCAACGAAGGAGCTAGACTCGGTCGGTATCTCTCACTATCTCACCTGGCGCAGAATTGACCACGGGGGCTTTGGATCTGCTAAAATAAGCCGATTTCCATTCATGGGCCAGCTATTGTAATCTAGTAGTAAGCTATTACTTTAATCTTTGGGTATTTTATCAAAACAAACACGGCCGAAATATTAGAGGCTCTATAACGGCCCATTTAGTTAAATGAAAATGCAAATAAATTTCAGAAAATCGGCGTAAATGTAAAATCTGAGCACAAATGATCCAAATTGTCTAGTCTAGTGGTTTGTACTACTTTGTATTAACGATGTTGAAGTGTCAATTACCTGTGTTGGAATGGATATTACACGCTGTTTACCAAAAAAAAGTAGAAAAGTTTCCCCGGTTCTGATGGACACTAGCCTTCGAAGTGTTGTTTTTCGTCCTTTAAATTTTTATTTGTAAGAATAGATTTATAAAATTTCATGGAAATGAATTTCGAACATGAAATTGTTAGTCTATATCATTTGTTATGGATTCCTTGATTTGCACAAGGTTTGTATGGGATGAAAGAAAAACCCTCAAAACGTTTGTATGTGTTTTTATTGCCAATGGCTAATGCGTGTCACTTTGTCTTTTGAAGTTAAGCCAGAGTTCTTATAGATGGCAATTTTTACTACCACCTTCGATCACTTTTGTAAATATAACGCACAAAACAGAAATAAAACTCGAAAACAAATTACCAATGACAAAACATAACTGAAAGTAGAGATTCATTCATTAAGCAATCTCCTTCATCTCCATTCATATCCAAGAAACAAAACCCCCCACAAAAGGCAGTTTGCATCCCAAGAAACCAAAAAGCACGACCGAATTTTTTTAAAAAGAGAAGAAATCATTGAAAACAAAAGCGATAATTTTGTTTTGTTTTAGGATAGCATCCAAATGGGATTCTAATTTACAAGCAGACGCTTAGATTCATTACCCTTCCTTTCATGAGCCCAACCACCTCCACAGTTGTTTTGCCCCCTAAGCCAAGTACCTAAACATGTTAGGATTCTCCTTGTCCCTCTCCAAATAATCCCTCGTTATCAAATCCTCCATACGCTTCTTGATCGCTTTGATATCAGGCTGCATAATCACAATATCCGATAAGCCTTAGAAATTCATCACTAAGCATCTCAATTTGTTTTACATATATATAGAGAGAGAAATGACCTTGAACATTCGGCTAAGTTGCTCGACACACTCAGAAACAAGTTGTTGATGTCCCAATACTTTCCTGCTCTTCATGATCCTGACAATGGCAGCATCAATCGCATAGCGTCTGTCTTTATCAACATCTTCAACGACTTTCTTCCTTTCGTCAACTGGAGGAAGAGGGATCTGCCATGCAAAATACCAAAGTTAACATCCGACATTTTTGACACATGTAGTGCGACGAGTTGAGTAATGATGATATGTCACAGACCTTAATTCTGCGCATTCTATCGGTGAATTTGGAGTTGAATTCAAAAACATCAGTCTGGGAAACCGTCTTCGTGCTTGGCTCCTTGATGAGAATCTTGTACTTAGCACATGACAAGGAATGAAGCAACCTGACTAGATCCTCATGGCTAAGGTTCAATTGAGTCAGAATCTCAGTGTAACTTAGTTTCTCTGTTGTGTTGAAGAGCAGAAGCACAGCAGCCTGAAAAGAAAATAAAGATAGAAAACGTGTCATCAAAGACCGTTTAAAGATAGCAAATACAATATACCAACAGTTTCTGAGAAACAAATGATACCTGGTAAGTAGACACAACTAATTCAATGGGCTTTTGATCAAACTTTCCGGTCACGTGACAAGTACCGAGTGAATAGATCCAGGTAAGTTTTCTATGTTTCGTTTTCGTTTCATAAAACCCTTTGAAAACTTCGACACACTTGACCTGAAACAAAGAAATTGATGGATTAGATTTATCTGGAGTAAACCTTTTCACTTTTAACTTTTAAGGTATACATAAATCCAACAGAAAGTTACCATTTCACTGGGTAGATTGATGTCGAATGATTTGTAACTTGGCCAAAATCCAGTAGTAAGCACAGTGACGGTCAAATCAATCCCTGGGTTTGCAGCGGGATTATTGGCTAGATACTCCTCAAAGTTGTTTTGGTTTTCTCTTGCCAATGTCAAATCCGTTACCTGTGACCAACAACAGATTAAATATATAGAAAGCATATTTCATCAGAGCAACCACCACTTCAGATAATAAATATAGGGACACTCTAACTAACCATGCCCTCCATCTTGGAAGTAAATTGCCCACCACATTGTTGCTTGAGCTTTGTAAGGATACTTCTCTCATGATCATCATTAGCACTGCGATCAAATAAGAGCCTACGGGCCAGCTTCTTTCTGCAAATAAGCCATAACCAAAACAACTTGTCATTTCGGTACTCTATTTATGGAAGGAATCTTAACAAAGGGCTAGTATAAACAAAACATTCAAAGAATAAACAGCTAATAGAAGAAAAGCTAGATCCTTGGAAAAAAAGATTATAGTTGGAGATATAAACCTGTAGAACTCAGCAAAAAGATCCTTGTCACTTATATAAGCAAGCAATTTGACCACCTGTAACAACATAACAAAATTTAGCACCAACTTTAGGAGGAATTGAAAAATGAATTAAGCAAGCAATTTCACGGAAAGATGTACCTTCTCAAGCGTATCTTCAATAGCTTCATCACTCAGCTTCTCACTTCCCCCCTTCTTGAGAATATTGTCGCAAAATGTTGCAAGTAATTCGGCACTTGAACTTCCAGCGACCGTTTTGTTACAGAAAATCTCAAAAGCCTCTTTCAAAGCCTTAAACAGGTTTCAAGAAGCTTAAGTTAATAAAACAAATATATGCATGAATATGATAGACGCATGAGAAGTACACAGAAAGTACATCAAACCTTGTGGAAGAGGGTGTGGTTTTGGAAACACTCAGTGACATAGACCATGTATTTATCATGTAGCTCAATCACTTTTCTGATAAGAACCTGAAAGCAATGAAAGAAAAAGTGAATGGCTAAATTCCAAAATATCTTCACTAATAGAATCAGTTCACACGATTATTACCTGTTCCTGCACGCTAGCAGTATTTGCAGCCTGTGGGATAAAAAAATCTCTTAGCGATCACAAGCAAAGAAGACAAAACAGAAAAGTTTTCTGAATCAAAAGCTTAAAACAATATGAACCTGATTAGTAGCCGTGTCTTCAGCCTGTTGGACAAGTGCGTTACCCTCTGCTGTGACATGCTGTATACAAATTACAAGTTACAGTTAATTTCGTACGTAATCAAGAGAGTGAAGT